TAAAATCGACTGGGACAATATCTTAATGACTAGTAACAACTAAATACCAAAACCTTTAATTTATGGTTTGAATAATTGATTATTGGAGGTCAATAGTTAATTAGCTTAATCGATTATATCATTGACTCGACGTATAGATTAACTATTTTTTAGACTCACTTTATCCTATATAAAGGAGGCCTATCCTCATTAAAAAACATACCAAAATTCAAAATTTCCTATTTCTTAACACTTTATCACTCTCTTCCTCTCTCTTTAAATGTTCCATTCATAAAGGTTTCCTTAGTTCCTTGTGAGTGAAAACTGCATTTAAGGATAATTTTGTGCTAGTGACGTGCCATTGTTTTATTTTAAGAGTGTGATACTCTTGAAGGTTCGAGTTTTGTTTTCGAGACCAGTCATTGAAAAGTCTCGGTTTGGTTAAGGAACTCAGCTTGGTAAAAGTTATGTTTGGTTATTGAGAATAGTCGGTAAAATGTCTACTTGGTTTGTGAGTTTAGCCCGTTGAAAATGCTTTTATTTGGTTGTGGGGAAAAGTCAGTGTAAAATCTCTCAATTGGACTATAACAAAGGTTCATGGGCATAACCTATAAAAACTCAAGATTATTATTATAACTCTTAATAAGATTTCTTGGGGATAGGAGTTTGCCAACATTTGACCGAACCTATATAAATCTTGGTGCCATCTCTCTAATCCTAAATCTTTAAGTTCTCTCATTTACTTTATTAACTTTTCCTTTCCACTGCGTTTCTCTCTCTGCCTTTTTAATACTAACACATATTGTTTTTTGGAGTAAGAATATTTTTAAATTAATCACAAATCTTGAATACCACAATTCATCCTCTTTTGTGGTTGGAGTCACTTTTCCAATAGAAATATCAGATGGGGCACAAAACCCTAAATCATACACCTAAACGTTGCCTACTCCAGTTCCCAAGAAAATTTATATGTCCTTTTGCAAGGCAAGAAATGTCTCCTAATTTTTTTTTCAAGATCTTGGAGGATGGAGTCATATTTATTCTTCATAAGTTCTTTTTCCTTCCTTAAGTTACTAAGAACCAAGACACCTTTCTGATAGACAACCCCAATGGTCGTAAAAGAAGCAATCCGATGCATTGGGTAAGCCATTTCCACCAATGGTTTATACTTGGTGTGTCAAATTAATTATGAAAATAAGCATAATCTCTTCCATGAAAGCAAGACTGGTCTTTCTTCATACTACGAGGACACTTGTTTATAAAAAAACAGATGCAAAAAATAGGTATGCAACGCTTTCTAGTTACTACCCATGATCACTTTCTTACTGGGAGGTTGTCTTGAATTGAACCTCTTTCGTAGGACATTCTTCGTGATTCGTATCCTTGCCTGTATCCTTATTGGAATATTCACTAACCGTGGGATTTGATCGTCCCCCGAAATTTTACCTTTCTGATCGTGAGAATTATTGCTACGACCCTCTAAGGTTGGACGATCTTGGTTTAACTTATCTTCCCTCCCTACTTTTGTTGATCGTGTTTGATCAAGGTTTAAAAAATTGCTTCTTTACGGGATCACCCCGACACGTCATAAGCAATGTTCTGATTTAGATTCATTGAAGGAGGTGGAAGCGTATTCTTTACCGCTAACGCCTTCTTCCTCTTCATCATATCATGGATCGATCCCATGTTATCTACAAAATAAAATAAAAGTAATGATTATGTCAAAAATTAAAATAACAACAAATGTAAGTAAAATAATGACTCCCTCCTCTCACGAAAGGTTTTTTTTTCTCTCTCCTAGGTGTAAACCGCCTCCACTACCAAACACATGTCAATATACCAGCTTTTTTGTTATGTCAGCGACACGTCGGATGGGTAAACTCCATATTTGAAGCCCAGACTCTCCTAAAGTCCAAATAATTCAACCTTCAACTCTTATTCTTCTAGAGTCGATTCTTTCGAAGGGAACACATACTTGCTTGGAACACTTAAAAATTGATTTCAATTCTAGTATATTATGAATCTCTCTTTACATCTAGTTAGCTTCGAGCTAGGGGTAAGTAGGATTATCCTTCGTCATAACACATAAGCTTGAGAGAGCTTATAACAACTAGGAAATATTAGTCTTTGAAGATCTTTTAGCTATCAACATAAACACTGAACACCTTATTTGATTTAAGAAGAGATATCAACCTCTGTTCTTACTTCGCTATAACATAACTACATGTTACATTTAATAGGTTGAAGAATAAATTCAAGGTTGACTAGTCAAAAAATGGCCTCACACCGTAAAAATCATTTTTCAATCCATGGGCCTTACTGAGCACGAAAGTCATCTCTACCACCTTTACGTCCACACAATAACATTTAATGATGTCTGATGGGAACTCGAAACTTTGTTGGTCTTCAAACCATCTCGTTCTCACTCTCAACAAAAATCAAAATGTCTATAATGATTTTTAGAACATCCTCGGAAGTCAAGATGCTTTCTGAATTTCATATTGCTAGGTTCTTGGCCATTCAAGGACATATATATACTTTGTTATAGGAACATGCCCCAAAGTCGTCTTGATACACCTCACCAAACTCCAAATATGCCATTGGAAATTCAGGATAAGAGAAGACAGAGCCAATTTCCCCTATGTAGGGACAAACCAAATTCATCCCTCCGCCTTCCTCTATAGCCCATTACATTTTTACCACTCGGAGGACCCAGGGGTTACAACCACTTTTGATGGAACCCCTTATACTCAAAACTATCACCAACCACTATGAGATTTATGGGGGAATGAATAACTTCCAAAATAACAAATTCAACACCTCTAAAACCACTACCCTTATATAAGACGAGGCGTCACTTATCTTGTCACCGTTAGGTATATCTATGAAAACTTTTAGACTCATATCCAACATTGGCCATTTATAAGAGGAAAGAGCATGAACAATTACAATAAACAAAGAAAGATAAAAAGTAATACCTTTAAAAACTGTAGTGGTAAAATTAATGCATAAATGAAGAGACCATTAAGAAATACGAGAGCCCAAAGTGGGTTGCAGAATCAAGAAGGGAAAAAAATTGGAACAGACAATGTGTCGTCGAAGCTTAGGGAAGGAAAGTTAGAGCTGGAAGAAAAGGAAACTGTTTGGACAAATAAGCAAAAATGTAACCTGAATGGAGAAACAACCTTTGTATAATGGAACAAATAGGACATATCTACGACTTAAAATCAAAGGAAGGTAGGTTGACAAAACCAATAGATGGTTTTACCTCAAAATGACAATGACACTTGAGCACCTTTAATGTCATTGTTATGCCCTATCATAGGGACCTAATTCTACGTGTAAATGCAATCTTATGAAACATTTTAGTGAAAATACCAACATCTAATGCTCATGCTCTTGAGGTCATTTGCTTCCATTCACCAGTCTTTTCAACTTCCAACAAACCAACAGTCTATCAAGAAGACCACAACAGAGGGCATGGTCGACCTAATAATCTCAAGTCTTCACACTACTTCGCAATGGAAAAACCTTGGGGGCAATTGTTCTGGACCGACCATAAGTCTAAAATACAAAGAAGACTAATCACAAAAAGGTCCAATTCAAGAAGCACTTACTGAGTTGCTAAAGATCAGACACAATCTCGTTTAATATGCAAACACTCAATCTTCACCATTAGACATCCATGTTATATTAATTCAAACAATCCATTGTGTCTCACACGAGGAATATGAGTCGGTTATAACCGTCCTCATATATATAAAGATTGTCATACAATGATCACAAACATGTTCTCAACATAACTCATAAGGCTATTTTCCCACAACTTACAGATTTTAAGGTTAGAGTGCAAACATCACATGTCCATTTCTCTCCACCAAATCCAAAAGCATTCACTATTACTCTGATTAACTTTACATCTTTATATCAAAATTGCATCTTCATTTTTATCATTAACCCTTAAAAAATTAAATGAAAAACAATGCAAATAATGTTTTTTTGGATCAAATCAAAATTGATTCAATACTAAAGTTAAGGACTTTAGAAAAATTTAAATCGGAAATTTAGAGAAAAAACATTCTTCTAGATCTCGAATCTTGATTATATAATAAAAAAATACTATATTAAAAACGATTTACCATATTAAAATACTAATACTAGTTTTTTTACAAATAAACAAATTATTTAAAAATCGTTTCGGTCAATAAACACTAGAGCATAGCGAAGCAAGCACACCCGGATACACCAACTCCTTTTCCTATTACTCACATAATTAAATATGGCAAAACAAACCACCTGGCTGGTTCTACCCAACACTTCTTTATTAAACTAATTTCCAGAAAAAGAAAAAGAAAAAGAAAGCGCTGACGAAGATATCAAACAAACATAACATAAAAGCTTCATGCACGAAACGTGTCAGCATCTAAGTGGTTCACCAAACACACAAAATTTACATTTTCCATCTCACACAATTCATTTCACCCCAAACCCAACCGAACCAGTTAACACACAGTACAAAGTAGTAGTACCACACACACATAAGTCAAGCGTGTTTTATATTTTAAAATTCAACTAAAATGCTCCGGCAATGCGCGATGCGCACCCTCACTTACTCTGTGTGCATTCTACGCACTTTGCGTATTAAAGTCTAACTCTCTCTCTTTCTCTCTCTTCACTAGTTAAACTCCGTTGACTGTAAGAATATCATAAATCATTCTCTACTTTTTTTTTTTTAATTTTGTTTTTATTTTCTTTCCTTACTTTCATTTTCTTTCTTACTACTTATCACCGCCACAACTCGCCGGGAAATTTTCAATAACCGTCTCTCTTTCTCTCTCTCTCTCTCTCTCTCTCTCTCTCTCTCTCTCTCTCTCTCTCTCTCCAATAACTCGCCGCTTGAAATTAGGGTTTGATAAATTTGAGAAACCCTAGCTGCCATTTCCGTGAATTGATAGCTTTGTGACTTTATCTGGCTCTGCGTTTTTGGTGATTTGTTGTCGTTTTAAGTTCGGTTCGTAATTATGAAGAGATTGCGGTCAAGTGAAGATCTTCACTCGTACAACAGCGGTGGTGATAAGAACGGTGATAAGAATGGTGATAAGAATGGTTTTAAGGATTCGAATCTGAACCGTTCGTTTTCCTCTACTGGTCAGAGAAGCTTTTATTACAAACAAGAGAATGTTCGCAAGGGTTTAATCTCGTCCTCTTCGTCGCGCTATGAAAGGGATCGGACTGTGGAGGAAGATCGGGAGGGTCCGAGATTGGTTAGGAAACGATCTGACCATGATTTTGATGGTTTTGATCGGAGGAAGGGTTTTGATCGATATAGTCGGGATGGCGGTGGTTATGGTGGTGGTGGTGGAAGTGGAGATAGAAATTCGATTCATAGGTCGGAGAGTTTCAGTGGACCGAGGAGGGAGTTTCCGAAGGGGTTTCGTTCGGAGAGGGATCGGTCGAGAAGGGAGGGGAGTGTATCTTCGTGGAGAAGAGGGTTGAAGGATTTTGATGAGAGTAGTAGAGGGAGTAATAGTAGAGTTGAAGAGAGAGTAGTGCGTTCGCCTAAGGGGGGTTTTCCGAAGGAAGTGAAATCACCTAGTTGGTCGAAGGATTCTGGGAGTGAACAATCGAAGAAAAGATCTTCTTCTCCACTGGTGTTTAGAGATGCTAAGTCAGTATCAAAGTCACCTTCTGGGTCTAAGGATTCGGAGAGTACACAGTCCAAGAGTGTTAGTGTTGAGGTGAAAAGAGCTGAAGAGTTATCACAGCAGGTTCAGAGTGGAAGTGGTAGCGAAATGGAAGAGGGGGAGCTTGAACCTGAACCGGTCCCTAAATCGGAACCCAAACCAGCTTCTAAAGATGCAGCGGCTGGAAGTGAAATCCAGCAAACCTCTGAGGACAAACAAGTTCATCAGCAGATTGAAGGCCGTTTGACTGATGCAGATGTTGTTATGGAAGAGAAACAGATGTTGTCGAGTGAGAAAGAGGCAAACACTATGGAGGATGTTGATTCTGAGGTAAAAGATGCAGAAAAAGAAGTTCATGAATTGCCTAAGACTCAAGATGTTTCAATTAAGGAAACACCTTTTACTGAGAATGTGATTGGAACTGTTGATAAGGATAATGATAAGAAGGACACTAGTTTGAATGTTGATGATACTCTCAAGGAAGAATTGGAGAAGAAAACAAATAAGGAGAAGGCATTGCTTAATGAAGAGGAACACGAGGCGGACAAGGGTGTATGTAGTGGTGACAAATCTGAGTCAAATGCTGAAGGCTCAACAGTGAATGCAGTTGCCGAAGTGAAGAGAGAAACAATGGAGAGTGTGACCAACAATGCCAAGGATAAAGGAAAAAGCGTCTCGGTCACACCTGATGTTGCTCATTCTTCAGAAGATAGTTTGTGGGTTGATAGAGGGTCGAAAGATCTCACAACATGTCCTGTAGATGCCATGGAAGGTCCGAGCACTAGAGGGTTTGAGCTTTTCTCTAGATCTCCTGTGAGAAAAGTAGAGAAGTCTAATCGCTTGGTTCTAAAAGAGGAGAATGATGACAGTCTTGCATTGGGGGAGCTTGATCTTACCCTTAGCTTGCCTAATGTTCTGTTACCGATAGGAGCTCAGGAGACAACAACACAAGCCCCTGGATCTCCTAGTCAAGCACGGAGTGTTCAGTCTCTAAGTAATACATTTTGTACTAACTCAGATGGTTTTACTGCATCAATGTCATTTTCAGGTTCCCAATCACTTTATCACAATCCAAGTTGTTCTCTTACGAGAAATTCAGTGGACTACGAACAATCTGTTGGCAAATCGGTTGGCAGTCGCCCCTTGTTCCAGGGATTTGATTGGCAAGCCTTATCTCAGGGTGATCCCAAGCCAAAAGAAATTCCTTCTGGTCAGAGAACTTCGATGAATGGGAACGGTTCTCTTTACCAGCCTCAAGCATCATGGGGCATTTTAGATACTCAAGCTTTGAAAGGTCAACATTCCAGGGCTCTAGAAGGAAGCTCAAAAATGGGCAGTGGGCTTGAAAGGCAGTTGAGTTTTCATAAGCAGCTTTCAGGACAGTCAAGACGGCATGATGATGTTCGATCTCCCACACAGAGTGTTGGGTCTCATGACAATGGATCAAATTATAGTTTTGAGAAAAAGAGGGAGGTTAAGGAAAGAAGCAGCAGTGGTAGTCTACATCGAACTACCAGTCAGAAGGGACAAGAACAATTTCCGATGGGTGGACTTGATTTTGTTAAGACAATCATTGCAAGAATAGTTTCTGAACCTGTGCTTCCGATGTCCCGAAAGTTTAATGAAATGAATGCACAGTACATAACGCGTCTGAAAGAGGGTATTCGAGAACTCATGCTCAGTTCAGATAACCATGGACAAATACTTGCTTTTCAAAAGGTTTTGATGAACAGGTCTGATATAACCTTGGATGTTCTAGTGAAGTGTCATCGAGTGCAACTGGAAATTTTGGTTGCTTTAAAAACAGGTTTAACCCATTATCTTCACCTAGATGATAATAACATTTCATCGTCTGATTTAGCTCAAGTATTTCTAAGCTTGAAGTGTAGGAATGTTACATGTCAAAGTCAGTTGCCTGTCGATGAATGTGATTGCAAGGTTTGTGTGCAGAAGAATGGTTTTTGCAGGGAATGTATGTGTCTTGTGTGTTCTAAGTTTGACAACGCGTCAAACACATGTAGTTGGGTTGGGTGTGATGTTTGTCTTCACTGGTGTCACACTGATTGTGGATTACGAGAATCTTATATCAGAAATGGGCATACTACTGGAACTAAAGGGACGACTGAGATGCAGTTTCACTGCATTGCTTGTGATCACCCTTCCGAGATGTTTGGCTTTGTCAAAGAGGTGTTTCAAAGTTTTGCAAAAGAGTGGTCAGCCGAATCTCTTCGCAAGGAACTAGAATATGTGAAAAGGATCTTTTCTGCTAGCAAGGATATAAGAGGGAGACAGTTGCACGAGATTGCAGATCAAATACTGCCGAGGCTGACTAAGTCTAACCTTCCTGAGGTTCTGAGACACATCATGTCTTTCCTTTCTGGTAAGTAATATCACTCTCTTAACATTATTATCTGAATGCTCTTAGCCTAAAATTCCTGTACATGAAATGTTTGCATTATTAAGCATTGTTATATGTAAACTTGCAGCAATCAAATATATTGACATATTGAACTTTGCACATATGCATATCAGGTTTTATGTTTGCAAGGTCAAGGTTTATAGACCTGTACTTTAATTTCTTTAATAGTAAAAATTTAAAGAAGTCATTCTAAGAATACCTTTTCATCCAATTGGATGATTATTATTATTCCAAACTTGTTCTCACTTGTCTGAATGACATGGAAATATTGTGGCTGTCAGGTTTAATTGATAATTGAGTCTTTCTTTTTTGCTTCCAGAAATCATTAGGTTGGACCTGGTATTTTTGGAATATATCGAACATGTCAACAACTCCTTGACAGATTATCATGTATTCATGTTGTTTATAGCTAGTGATGGTGTTTCCACAATTTAGTTAGGCATGTATATTCTTAGAACTTTTGCATTGTTGGTGTTTGTGAAGGCTATATTGCATATATCTTACATGCATGGTTATTAGTATCTTACAATACATGCGAATCGTGTCTCAATTGATATAATTTGATACTTAACTGAACTCATTTGATACAAATATCTTGTTTAAGATTTGAATGCTAATTTGATATCCATGTGGCATTCATTATGGTTAATTGCAGATTGTGATTCTTCCAAATTAACCATGACAACAAACTTTTCTGGGAAGGAACAAGTCAAAGAAAACAATGGGGTAGCTGGGCCCAGCCAGGAAGCTGCTTGGCTGAAATCTATTTATTCAGAAAAGCCACCACTATTAGAAAGACCTCCAAACATCCTTCCAAGATTTGACCAGAATGATAAAAGGACACTGGTGCAGGAGTTGCAGATGAGTAGTGTTCAAAAGGACTTTGGTTTTGATGAATTGGAAAGTATAGTAAAAATCAAACATGCAGAGGCTAAAATGTTTCAATCTCGTGCTGATGATGCAAGGAGAGAAGCCGAAGGGTTGAAACGCATTGCCCTTGCAAAGAGTGAGAAAATTGAAGAAGAGTATACCAGTCGACTTGCCAAATTGCGGTTCACTGAGACAGATGAGTTGCGTAAACAAAAGATTGAAGAACTCCAAGCATTGGAGAGGGCACATCTGGAGTATTTGAACATGAAAAGGAGAATGGAGTCAGAGATTAAAGATCTGTTATCCAAAATGGAAGCTACTAAAATGAACCTTGCTATGTGACCAGAGCAACATTTAGGATAGTTCTTTCAGGTAAAATGTATTATGGCTCATCCTGAAATTTGTCGGTTCTAGTGCTCTGCCCTGTTGTTGTTGTGGTAGTTCTTTTGCTTATAAGCTGCTAACCAAAATCTGTAGATTCCATCACAGTAGTTATCAGTCTTATAAAACAATCTCAATTATGGAATTAGCTTAAAACAATTTATTATTTGAACAGACAAAAAATGGACAGCATGTGGCTGGATTTGCTGTACAGGCTTGTTGTACTAACTGTCAGTGTAGGAAAATTATAAATTAGAAACCTTGGAGGATAATGTGCTTTGAACTTAAATTGTATTTGTTACATTTAGGTCACATGATTTGTTGTCTGTACAAGTCTGATCCAGCAGCATCTTTTTCATCGCTTCCTATTTGTTTGGTTTAAATATTTCAGATATACAAGTTCAATCATAATTCTGAAGTCTTCTAGCTATCTTTCAAAACTCTTCTACATGTCATGTCGGTGGTGTAATATCTGCCATTCTGACATAGATGACGAGGATTTGCCTTCCCTTTTGAAGCTACTGGTTGTTATAGGAGATATACAAATTGCAAAAAAATCTGCTGGTGTAAAAAATACTGTTGCTTTCACTCCCAATTATACATTACTACAAGAATGTATTAAGTTGAATTCTCCTATGGTACAATATAGTGAGAGGAGACTCGGGGGTATCCAATGTTAAACAATTGCATAAAACTAACTAAGTGGCTTTGGATTTTTGCGGAGGAAAATAATATTTTAAAAAAATTTAAAATGATTTGACCAAAATTAATTATTTGGATGAAAAATATGAAGAATGGTTAAAATGATGTAAATTTATGAAATATTTTATTCAAATTAAATTTAAGAAATTTTAAAAGACAAAGAATAAAGAGTTTAAAATTGTTTATTCTTTTATATAATGTGAAATGTTAAATTATTTATTATTATTTTTTAAATTTGGAAGATAATTATCATATTTTATAAAAATTTCAAATTCATCTTTAATTTTTTTTTTAAAATTACAAATAATTCACTATTAATTTTCAAAATTTATAAATTGGTCTTTCAAATTTTAAAAATTGTAAATTGGTCTATATATATATTTTTTATTTTAAACTTGGCACAAATGTTTTGAAATTTATTAAAATGATTAAAAATTTTACAATGAATAATTTTAATCTATAACAATATATAAAGGCAAAACACAATTTTGGTGTAGCCTTTTTTACTTTCAATTTTGTCCTTAATAAATTGATTCTTTTACATTATTTTTTTATTATTAATAAATTAGTAAGTTATTATTCATCATCTTTAGTAACAAATAATTTATTAACTAAATTAATTAAATAATAAATAATAATTAAAAAAATAGTAATAACTTCTAAAAATAATTAACTGCTTTATAACCCACCAATTTCATTACTGAATTAATTAAATTAATTAAATAAGAAATAATAATAAAAAAATAGTAGTAATTTTAAAAATAATTAACTGCTTTATAACCCACTAATTCCAGTAATGAATGAAATAGAAGGATATAACAACTTTCATACTTAAGTAAATTAATTAAATAAGAAATGATAATAAAAAAGTAGTAGTAACTTCTAAAAATAATTAACAGTTTTATAACCCACTAATTCCATTATTGAATGAAATAGAAGCATATAACATCTTCTGTACTCAACTAATATTACAATATTTAATTATATATTTAATTGTTTTAATTTTGAAGATTTATAATGTATTTTATTTATGACTAAATTTATCCAAAGCTTTTTCTTAATAAAACTGAATGATAATGATTATAATAATCACAATTATATATTATCTTTTAAATATTTAAATAATTATTGATCATTATCATTAACAATTTTTCTCATACAATTTAATGGATTTTATGGATAAGTGAATTATAATTGCCTAAAAATATTCATTGGAGTTCTTAAAATACAGTTTTTGAAAATATGATTAACCAATATTTTATTTTATTTTAAAAAAATATTTTTTTAAAATAAATTATAAAATAATTTTAAAATTTTGAAAAATCTCAGTCAAATCTAAATCATCTATTACTTTAAATCCAACGATAGAGGATAAGCAGTTTTTTCATTTCTCGCTCAGAAAGATATATAAATACCCCTTTCATCTTCTACTTTTTCACATTCAAAATTCAAAAGAATAAACAGTTTCTCAACATTTCTTACAAAATTGGCCGGTCGTAGAAAGGGTATTGGGGCTCGGAAAGGGAGGAGCAAAGAGGCACAGGATGATTATGCGCGACAACATTTGGGGAATTACAAAACCAACGATTCGTAGATTGGCGAGGAGAGGAGGTGTGAAGAGGATAAGTGGTTTGATCTATGAAGAAACTAGGTTATTTCTCAAGGTTTTCTTGACAAAAATCATTCATGATGTTGCTTTATATACTGATCATGCAAGAAGGAAGGTTGTGACTGCCATGGCAAAGAATAATTTTATATGGTTTCGGAGGTTGAAGAAGATACTCTCTTTTATTTATTATTATGTTATCTTTTTATCGTCTAAGTTGTGTAATTTGTATTTCTGTTTCTGCATTTTAAAAAAAGTTTATATCTAAGTAATAGTCGGTGATTATACAATGATCACCGTCTAAGTTATGTAATTTGTATCTGTATTTTCAAAAATGTTTATTTTTAAGTATTAATTGATGATTATGCAATGATAATGACTAAATACTACAATATATTTTTTCTATTGTATGGTTTATGGACAAAATTTCACTATATATGCATTATACTAAATTTATGATGATTTTAGTTAAGTTAAATCTAATTTTTATAATTATAGATAAACTGAATATGAGTCGTTGGTTATTTTTGTTCTTTAACCATCATTAACTTCCAATAAGAAAAACTTATGGAAACTTTAACACATATAAATCTTCTTTGAACGACGATTTTTGAAGAGTGTTTGCTGGTGATCATACATAAAAAAACAAATTAATTAATTTTTTTCATTATAGTTTGTTAAAAATGAATTTATACGTATGTATGTATTTTAATTGGTGACCGGTTTTGTTAAGTTACATTTATAATCATTTTGGTGTATTATCCACAAGGTTTTGTCTTATTTAGAAGTCATGCGTAGAAAATATTATTGTAGATTTCAAATTATTTTTCTTTCAAAGATGATTTTTTACCATTCATATAAGGATTGCTATTCAACCGTTTTTGAATTAATTTATTGATGGAGGTATTATTATTATTATTAGAATTTAATTGGTATGCACTAAACAATGCAAACTTTTAAAAACCGCTCAATTATGCATGTTGTGCCGCATATTGATTTTTTTAGGGATAATAAAGAGGATGACATAGTCAGGATGCCTACTGAAATTGTCATATCATACATTTCCCGAATTAGAAAACCATGGATGAGATGCTTCATATATGGTGGAGAGAGTCATACTTACTCCCAAAAATTGTGATGTACATATGTTGAATGACAAGATTATTAGTAAATTCTCTGGAGATGAACATATTTTGTTATCTTTATGAGGTTGATGGTGTTACACATAATCTATATCGACAGGAATACTTACACACAATTGCTCCTGGTACTTTACCACCACATATTTTAAAGATGAAAATATGGGCTCCACTGATGTTGATGCGAAACATAGACCCTAAATTTGGGTTGTGTAATGGTACAAGGTTGTTATGTCGTGGTTTTTATGAATTTGCTTGATGTTGAAATACTTACTGGCCACAACGTTGGAAAAAGAGCTTTATTGTCAAGAATTAAGCTCAAAACCACGGAAGGTGCGGGACTTTCTTTTGTGCTTATTAGAAAATAGTTTTCTGTCAAACTAAGCTTTGCAATCACTATAAACAAATCACAAGGACAAACAATTCCAAATGTTAGAATTTATCTTTCACGACATGTTTTCAGTCACAACAATTGTACGTTGCTTTATCAAGAGGTGTTTCGCGTCCTGCCACAAGAGTGCTAATTAAAGACGGAAAAGTAGATGGGGAAGAAGGGGTGTTTACCAAAAATATAGTTTTAAAAAAAAAATTATTGTCACAAACTCAGGTATTTATCTATTATATTTAAACATTCAACTATACTTTTGCAAAGACACACTTGGCGTGCACTCACTAGATTACACTATATTGTTGACTACTAAAATTTACTTCATTTATTTTGCAGTAAAATAAGAGATATTTTTTATTTTGATTTTATGGTTAACCTTAATATTTTTTTTCCTTATTTTATTTAAATCTACGTATGAATTTGTACAATCTATAAGAATACATAAATACAAAATTTAATTTTGGTGTAATCTATTTTCTTTTTCCTTAACACGGTATTCATAATCATCAAATTATTCCTCTCACATTATTGATTTGCTTGAAAAAAACTGGTTAAATATAGTCACGTCACTATGCGGTTTTCTCAATTCAAACAAAATTTAATACACGAATATTACATAATGCAAATAAAACTTAATATCTATCTGAATAAATACAACATATTTCGTCATATACATATTTTATATTAAAATCAAATTTATAAAAAAGACGTTGTCAATATTTTCACGCGCTAGCGCGGTAAAACAAGCGGACAAACAGGTACGGAGTGCCTGTTTGGACGCTAGTATTTTATAAAAACAAAAGAATTTAAAAATAAATGATTTGAATTGTTTATAATTTTGAATTTTAAAAAGATTTTAATTATCTCATCCAAACACATTAGCATTTTGATGAAAAAAAATGCTTTTTTTGAAAAAATTTATTGATTAGAAGTAAATTTATGACTTATGTTATTCAAGTTAAATTTAAAAGATTTTAAATGACACAAAAAAAAAAAGTAAAGAATTCAAAATTGCTATTCATTCTAATATAATGCAAATATTAAATTATTTATCATTAATTTTTCAAATTTTGTAAGATGATTATCTTATTTTATGAAAATTTTAAATTCATCTCTAAAATTTTCA